TAAAGTGTAATGTGTAATTATAAAAATGAGATACAATAAATAAATAAATAACAAGCATAAAAAAGGTATTGTATTGTTGCTCAAATATCTTAGAGATGGGGCTTAGTACACACTTTAATTTTATTATCATTTTGATTATTATTATTTTGCTATGATCTTTTTTTCAGGACCAGTACATCTTCTGCTATGACATCATATCCAACTACCTTGGATGCTTTGAGACGTATGCAAATCCAAATTCGTAATTTTTTTTTAATGAAAATGTCCTGTAGGTAATATACTCTATACAGAGTGTACCTTTTTTATTATTTTTGATCAGTTCATTTTTGATTACATATTTATAATATTCTTTATAAAATTATAAAACAAAATATACCGTAAAACCATGTACAGAAGCCCAAAGGTCTTAATCTGGAGAAGAAGCCCACCTGAAAAAGGAGCCCATGGTTTCAAGATTGCATGGGCTTCTTTTCAAGATTGTACAGTACATACACTGTACATAAATTTCAATGGAACAAAATAAATTAAAAACACGCTTGGTTTATACAGTAGTAGTTTAGGGGATTTAATGCCAATTAATACATCTCGAAAAGAAGCCCTTCCAAAAGGCTTTTTATTTGGGGTTTTACAGTGTTCACTTAACCAAATGTTGATATTGTGATGTGTGTGTGATTTTGTGGGAATTGTTTTGTTTTTGTCATTGTTTTTGTTTAATTTTTGAGATTGCTAAACTCTGGTACAAAAACTTTGTTCCTTTTGGGTTTGCCCTTCTCTAGTTTGTAGAAATATTTGAGGACATAAATGTATTATTATTAATATAATTATATTGTTATTTCTGCTGCTGATGCTATTGCTGTTATTATTATTATTATTAATATTATTTTTATTGTTATTAAATATTAAATATATTGGTTACTTTTAAAATCATTTGCATGAATTTGTCTTATGTAAATGCACCAATGTGATGAATGTCATTAATTTAAAGGTGGACATTCAAATTTGTCTATATGAGTGTAAAATGGCATTACCATGCCCATATATGGGTTTAACATGACATCGTCATGCCTATATATGGTTTTAAAATGCCCAAACCAATTAAATGACAAAATCAAATATTTGTTAAACTTGATAATGTGGACAAGATTTAGTGGCAATTTTTTTTCTATATAATAAGAATATTTAACTCATATTTTTTACAGTGTTTTCATTACTAGACAAAACCAAAGTATGTGTTATGTAAGAATCCATTCCATTTGTATATTGGCATTCATTTATATTTTCATAAATTTTTATTATATAAATATTCGGAAAGTATTTGTACTTATATGTATAGCAAATTTTGCAAAGGTAGTAAAATGCGCAATGCAAATCTTAATCTTTCTAACCATTCTATTAAATGGATTTCTTTGATTCTGCAGAGATGTGTTGAAAGTTCAAAGCAATTTATATATTATATTGTGTAAGCCTAGAATATGCACAGGCATCTTATACAAAATCCAGGTTGTTGGAAATAATATAGAGAAGAGACAGAATCTTAATAGACCTGACTGTTTATGTCAGTATTTAGAAAAAATTACATTTTTCATTTTGAAAATGGTGACTGGATCTTGATATGAGGTACAAAATTGATGATATGCA